GTTGAGAAAATTAACAAAGACACCCTGCTGGCCCCTAGCCCCCACCATCTCTCCTACTGTGTACTGTACAGCTGACACGAGACTAACTATTTCTGCACGATTGTTTGACTGTCTGTGGCCTGGCAGCGGGCCGGATGTCCCGCCTGTCAACTCAGGCGCACGCGGCGGGCCCTTAAGAAGGCATCAGCCCCAGCCGCAGCGGCGGTATCGCTGGCCCGAGGCCTCCTCTCCCCCGCTGCCGTCGCCACAGGCGAAGTGCCTCCGGCCTCTGGGCGCAAGGCGAGAGCCGTCGACTTTCCAGAGGAAGTGCGGCGCACGCTGCGTCTCGCACGGCGGTGGGGTCGTCCAGCTGCAGGGCGCCAGGCCCCTGAGCCGGACGCTGGGGCAGTCCTGGTGCCCTCTCCGCGCTCGGTCCTGTCGAAATCTGGGTGCTCTGGGCGGCATGGGCACCTGCCCCAGATGCGGTGGCAGTCGTCTGCGATCCCCCCGAACTGGCATCTGCCATCACCAGCAGGCTCCTTTCCCAGGACCTGGCGGCATCTCTCCTTGGTCCAGGTGCTGGCCGTCATGGCCTGCAACAGCGCGTTGGCCTCCGCTGGCTTCGACTTGCGCCACTTAGTCAGCGTGAGCTTCGCGTCCGTCAGGTCGGGGCCGCCCTCCATGCCCTTGGACAAACGGCCCGAGGCGGCCTTCCCCCAGAGCCGCGTCTCGATGTCCAGGGTGACGGCATCGATGACGTCGGCAGGGTCGCGGTGCTCCTCGCCCTTGGCCATCGCCCAGACATCCCCATGGGGGTCAATCCAGGAGGATGGCGCACTGGGCGTCCAGCCCGCGTCCAGCAGCGTCAGCATCAGCGAGCCCATGACGCCTCGGTGCCGTCTCCAGCGGTGCCGCACAGGCACCCTCAGCAGCTGCTCCAGGATCAGCGGCCACGCGCGCTCCACCGTCTGGCGCACGTCGGGGCGGTTCGCGTAGAGGTCGAACCATGCCCTCAGCTGTGCGAGCGGTATCTCCAGGGCGGGGTCCCTGCCCTCCTGATAATCACTGCTGGCGACGTCTCCTCCACCGCCGCTGGGCTGCCGAAGACCGGTGTGCTCACGTCATCGAGCCAGGCGCGCGGCTGGCAGCGACAGTGCTGCTCCGTCAGTCTCTCCAGCGTTCGGTACACCACCGCCCTGGCCAGGTTGTTTGACGTGCCTCGAGCCCGCCAGCACGGAGACGACCGCGTGCAGCTGCAGCTCGAGCGCCAGTACCCTCGCCGGGAAGTGGAGGTCCTGGCTGGCCGACGCCACCGTCTCCACGCTGAGCGAGTCGTAGAAGCGGGCAATGTCGGCCAGCCCCAGGAGGAGGAGGAGGAGGAGGAGGAGGAGGAGGAGGAGGAGGAGGAGGATCAGGAGGAGGAGGAAGAGGAGGAGGTGCTGTCTTATTCTGGGTCTCGTCATTGGCCCGCATGGTGGGGGAGGGCGGGGGGGGTTCGTCTGGGTCAGGGCCGGGGCTCCGTCGATCTGCTTCTGCCAGTCGCGCCAGCAGACTGGAGTTGGGTCGGGCCTGTCCCCCTACAGGGGGAGTTTGGACGAAAAATGTAAAATAGTCAAAAAGTGATGAAAGGATGCCCCAAAATACTCCCAAACAAGTCCCAAGGCTATTTTTTGACTATTTTTGAATATTCCCCCTGTAGAGGGACAGGCCCGACTTAAGACTGGAGGGGAGGTGTCCTGACGGGTCTCCAAAAGCAGCCACCCAAAGCAAGCAAGATCTGTGGGGGAACCAGAAAGCACCGACACCGCTGCTGCCGGGCCTCTCCGGGGGGTGCGTTCTGGCCAGCATGTCGAGGCGAATATGATTGTGGCGACGAGGGCCTCCCAGGAGGCCCAAAACGGGGACACGAGCGACCGGTAGCGGTGTGGGTGCCGCTTCCTCCTTCGATCATGGGGGGGGAGGTGGAGGGTCCAGGGGCCCGCGCCGGTCGGGGAAAGATTTTCGTTTTTTTTTTTTTTTTTTTTTTTTTTTTTTTTTTTTTTTTTTTTTTTTTTTTTTTTTTTTTTTTTCAATGGCGGCCAGGATGGGCGACCAGGGGCGACGGATGCGTCTAGCCCAGGCCCCCGACGTAATGATTTTTCCATTGCGTCGACCCCCAAAGGTCCCAACGCTCTCCCCATGACTGGCTTTGCATCCTGAGCCTTCTTTTGACGCTCCCGAGGCCCGGCGAGGGCCCCCCAGAGGCCGGAAATCAAGAAAACCGTTCCGTCATGATTTTTTCAATACTCGAGGGGGTCTAGGTTCTGAGAGGGCCTCCTCGTCCTCGCCTCCCCCCCTCGCTCCGAGGGCGCCGCAGGGCGAGCGAGGGGCCGCCCGCCCCTTGGGCCCCGGGGGAGCGCCGCTCGCGGCGAGAGCGCCCGGCCCTCTGGGGGGAGGCCGAAAATTAGGAGAAACCTCCCGTCATGATTTTTTCGTTGCTCGAGGGGGTCTGGGAGGCAGGCCTCGTCGCCGCAGCCTGTTC